ATGTAGAGTCTTCAAAACACCGCATAATATGGATGAACTTGGAGGACATTATGCTGAATGAAATAAGTCAATCACAGAAGAACAAATATAGTATTACTCTGTTGTTGTGGAGGGTCAAGGTAAGGTTTATATATGGAGGGACACTTTCTTTGTTGATTGCCAGGGGTGGGAGGGGAGGAGAGGGAACACTGCAAAACAAACAAACAAACAAAAAATGCATTGACCCATGTCATTTTAGTTTTGTATATTTCATTGTATATAAATTATATTTCAATAAAATGCATTTAAAAAAAAAGAAAAACAGAAAGACTTATCATTTCCCTTTGACAAAACTACTTTTAAGAAAAAATGCTACCTATAATATTTGATAACTTTACTGTTGAAAGTCTTGTAAAACCAAGCACTGCACTGACACTTACAGTATGCACTTGTGGTGGTCGGTGATGTACTGTGAGCTGAGGTCCCGCTGATCCCAGTGTTAGTCCATTGTTTACAACATATGTAGTTGTTTGAGGCACTCGAACTGTGACACCTACAAAAGAAAATTAAAGAATAAAATTAAAATGTTTTTCTAGTCTAAATTTGGTGGACACTGTCAATGAAGCAATGCTTTTAAAACTTGAGGAAAAATATTTCCAATACAAAAGTCTACATTTAGCTGAACTATCATTCAAATATGAGGATAAAGACATTTTCAGATACACACGCACTCAAAGGAAAAATCTAAGTTCCATAAACCTTTTCTCAAGTGGCAACTAGAGGATATTTGTTGCCATATCAGAGAGAAAACCAAGAATGAGAAAAAACATGAGATACAAGGAACAAGAGATCCAGCACAGGAGAGAAGTAAATGGAATCTACCACAAAGACTATGAGCAAAAATTCTCATCTAGGAAGAACACTATTGTGTATCATATGTAGTGGGCAATCAGGTCACATTGGATCAGTGTGATTCAAAAGACAAGCAAATTGAAGGCGTCTGTTTTGTTATCTTTTTAACCAGGACAGAAGGCTTAAGTAAGTCACCTTTGCCTTGTGTTAATGAGCTTTCTGCTTTGCCTTCCATGCCCTGCTGAACAGTTGAGGATACTCATTTCACCTCACAAAGTATTCTGTTTTCACATACACCAGGACAACAAAAGCAGGAAATTAAAAGTCACCTACTACCCCAACCATATTGCTGCCAAATATTCAGTACCTGGCCTGTACAATAGTTCTGCCAGATACCCTGACTGTATTCAGTACCTGGCCCATACGATAGTTCTGCTAGATACCCTGACTGTGGTGAGCCCTGTTTCCCAGAAGCTGTTCATGACCCTGTCAACTGATTTCTCCCAGAAAAGATCTTGTAAACTCTTGGAAAGTTGAAACCAGAGTAGGACTCAGAGACTCTGCTTAGTTTATCTTCTCCTGGGAGCTATCACTCAATAATCGCATTGCTGCAATTTCTTTAAATGGCTAGATTTGTTCCTGTTAAGTTGTGCAAAACTAAATCATATGTATTTTTAGTGATACCCACAAAGAGGTACATAGACCAAGAGGCAGTCATTCGAATAGAACAAGGGGATCTTGTGTGGTTTAAAATTAGGAAAGGTATACATCAGGGTTGTATCCATTCACCATATTTATTAATTCTGTATCCTGAGCAAATAATCTGAGAAGCTGGATTATATGAAGAAGAATACAGCCATCAGGATTGTAGGAAGACTCATTAACAACCTGTGATATGCAGATGACACCATGCTTGCTGAACGTGAGGAAGACCCGAACCACTTACTGATAAAGATCAAAGACTACAGACTTCAGTATGGATTACACCTCAACATAAAGAAAACAAAGATCATCGTAACTGGACCAACAAGCAACATTACAATAAATGGAGAAAAGACTGAAGTTGTCAGGGATTTCATTTTTACTTGTATCCACAATCAACGCCCATGGAAGCAGCAGTCAAGAAATCAAACTAACACACTACACTTGGCAAATCTGCTGCAAAAGACCTCTTTAAAGTGTTTAAGAACAAAGATGTCACTCAAAAGACTAAGGCGTCCTTGACTCAAGCCATGATATTTCCTTTTTAAAAAAAAAAAAAAAAATTTATTGCGATTTGGGTGAAAGTTCAGAGAGTAAATAATTTTCCATACAGCAGTTCACATACACTTTGTCTCATGACATTGACTGTCATTTCCAACAATGCAACAGCTCTCTTCCTACTTCCTCCCCATAGTTACTTCTTCCCTGACTCCTTCCCTCCCATGCACTCCTGCCCCCCAAACTGTCTCCCCATGCATACACAGCCCCTTCTATTCTCCCATGATTGATCTAAGTAGTGTATCTACTTAATGTAAATGTTCAGCTCATATGCCTGTCTTTTGTTTGGCTGGAAGCCACCAGAGTGGGTTTAATTCCAGACCAAAAGGGCAGCTAGGGGCCATAGTCTCAGGGACTCCACCAAGGTCTATCAGAACAGCAAACCTGGTCCCTTTTTTATGATTTTGAGTTTTGTTCCACACTGTTCTCCCTCTCTATCCAGGATCTCCTACATAGATCCCCCTCCTAGTGGTGGACAGTAGTACCCGGGGGCACCATCTAGTTCTTCCAGTCTCACAGTCATATAGGCTGAGGATCGCATGGTGTACCAGTTGCTAGGACTAATTGTTTCCATGTATCTTTGTTTTTCTTCATTCTTCTTTGCTCTGGATGAGGAGAGACCCAACGTTGCATCTAGATGGCTACTTCCAAGCTTTTAAGACCCCAGTTGCTACTTGCCAAAGGAGGAGGTGGAACAATGTTTTGTGTAGTGTATTATGCCAATTGAGCTTGATGTCCCCTGCAACTATGGTCCTGAGCCCATAGGTCCAACTACTCGTTCCTTCTATGTAGCTGGCTGTGGCCAAGAAGTAACTACAACCTTGTCCCTTGTCAGCTGTACTATACACTGGAAATTCTTACATAACATATAAATACACTTGTCTGGTAATCCTATATATGGTCATGGGCACACTCCCCCCTTCACAGACATACCTAATCCTTCAGCCTATCCACTCATCTATCCACTCGTAGATCAACATTTGCCAACACTGACAATGCAGTACTGTATGTGCAAAATGGTTCATCTTTGTTATCTGCACCTCCCATGCACCTGTCTGTCTTCCTCTTCCTTAATGCCACTGTGCCGATCACTCACATTTTGGTACATTGCCCTTCTCTTCACCAAAATCAATAAATGTCTCTACCTATCTAGCAATGTTCCTCACCTCCTCCCCTCCCACCCCTGGTAACCAACAAAGAAAATTTCCTTCCATATATAAACCTTTCCTTGACTTTTTACTAATGGACTAATACAATATTTGTCCTTCTGAAGTCATGGTATTTTCAATAGCTCTATATGCATGTGAAAGCTAAACAATGAATAAGGAAGATCACAGAAGAACTGATATATTTGAATTGTGGTGTTGGTGAAGAACACTGACTATACCATGGACTGCCAGAAGAACGAACAAATCCATCTTAGAGGAAGTACAATAGAATGCTCCTTAAAAGCAAGGAGAGATTTCACCTCTCATACTTTGGACATGTTATCAGGAGAGTCTACACCCTGGAAGAGGACATCATGCTTGGTAAAGTAGATGGTAAGCAAAAAAGAAGAAGACTCTTAACAAGATAGACTGACACAGTGGCTGCAATAATGGGCTCAATCACAGCAACAACTGTGAGGATGGTGTGGTACCAGGCCATGTTTCACTCTGTTGTGCATGAGGTCACTATGAGTAAAAACCATCTCAATGGCACCTAACAACAACTACATAGATGATAAAACCATAAAGAAAAGCAGAATGATTAATACGGAAGTAAGGAAAGTGGTTATCTCTGATGAAAAGGGAGCAGAGGTACACAGGCTGCTTGTAGGATACAGGTAACTAAGCTCTATTTCTTAACCTTGCAGAGAATTCATAGAGGATTCATTCTGTTATTTCTTTTTAAAGCTTAAACATACCTTTTATATAAACTTCTGTTTGTATGATTTATTTTACTACTAAAGAAAAAAAGCATACATGGAGTAACTACAGGTTTCTTTTAAAATTTTCTCTATTCTTATTTTTCAGCTACCTTCTGCACCTTTAAGACTATTTCTAATTGGAGATTTTCTTTAGCATTATTTCTATCATTTGGGCTGAGTTACAATTGGTCACCCTTACTTTAATTAGGTACATTGTCTCTTAATAAGAGTATAGACACACTTTAGAGTCAACAGATAGGGTACTGTGATAGGATGTACAAGGTCATAAATAAAGTTAAATCAAAGACAACACATGGAGCAGAAATCATACGATATAAATGTCTGGTTAAGTCTGCTAAGGGAAAAAAATGAATTGCTAATAGTTTTCAAGTAACATTACAAGAGTTTTTGCTAAATCTAATGTCAACATAAGACACTACAACTAAATGCTCAAGAGTACTACATATAACTAGAAACCATAAACAAGAAAAGGTTTCTTACTATTTTGAGGATTGACCTGCCGAACAGCAGGAGCCTGCATAACAGTTCCTCGAAGGGGAGCTTGAGCTGGCGGTGCTGGGAGAGTTGTATAAACAACTTGGTGGTTTGCAGGAGCTCTCGGTACAGGGAGCCTTGTGGTAACCTGAGTAACTGGATGTTGTGTTACATTCACGGTGGTGGGAGCTAAAAAAAAAAAAAAAAGGCAGAAAATATATTAAACCAAAAACCAAACCAAATATATTGCCATCGAGTCGGATCTGACTCATAGCGACCCCTCCCTGGGTTTCTGAGGCAGTATCATTATGGAAGTAGATTGCCAATCTTCCTGTCAAGGAGTGGCTGGTGGGTTTGAACTGCCAGCCTTCCAGTAGCAGCCAAATGCCTTACACACTACGCCACCAGAGCTCCTAAGAATGTGACAAATTCTATTCTAAATAGTATTAAATGCCAATTATCTTTGCATAAAATTCATCTAACTATAATAAAAAGAAACAGAAACAATAGTCTCCTTTTGTAATATTGCAAGGTAGAATGACAGACAACCAAAATTATAATCCATGTTTCAGAAGAAAAAAAACACTCAACTATGTCCACTGCCCTTTAAACTCTTCTGTTTGACTAGGTAAGAAGCATGTGAAATAAGTAAAGGTCTAGACTCTAGGCAATTTTAAATTGTTCTCAGCAGAGTAATATCTCCTTGGAAACCAAAGGAGGCGTCACTATGAGTCGGATCTGACTCGACAGCAGTGAGTTTGGTTTGGAGTTTCCGGGTCTTCTATCAAGAGGTATAAATCCAAAAAAGAAACTTTGTACTTCCATAGTTCAAGAAACTGGCTGGCTATTAAAATCCACATTTTTTTCAGGTGAATCAATCTATCTCTTATTCAAAACACTGAACAATCCATTAATGCCTAGTGTAATATTAACAAATATTTATCAAAAAATGGAGTCATGAATTTTCATTGAAAGCATGGAACCATAATAATGATGACTTTAAAGGTTAGTAACTTTTGTTTATAACTCTCTGAATTAGAATATTTTACAAATGATTATGCATTAACTATATAATAAAAAAATCACAATATATTACTTTCATATGAAAACTGGCTTCTCTAATTAAATAAAAAAGAAAATGCTAGATATAACAAAGATGAAAAAGTTTCTTTACTGAAGACTCCACCATCTCTACACATCTTAACTTTCAATATGAGCCTTCAGAAAGGACATATACAGAGGGAGGAAGGAACATTTATTTCTTCATTCCTTTTTCCCTCCTCCTAGTATATATACTGCATATGAGATTACATAATAACATTTCATTCTGAAAAATCTAAATTAGGTGACTGTCAAAACTTTGTATAAATGGAAAGAGAAAAAGATAACATAGCTCCAGTGGTTGAACCAGAATTCCTGGGTGGCACTCAGCTACTAACCAGAGATTGGTGGTTCAAATCAACCTAAAAGCACCTCAGAAGAAAAGCCTGGAGATCTACTTCCAAAAGATCACATCACTGAAAACCCTATGGAGCACAGCTCTACTCTGAAACATATATTGTAGTCATGAGTAG